GATATGTTGATGATGATGTTGTTAATGATGATGATGTTGATGATGATGATGATGATGTTGATGATGATGATGATAATGATATTGATGTTGATGCGGATGATGATGATGATGTTGATGATAATGAGGTTGATGATGAAGATGATGATGCTGATGTTGATGATGATGTTCATTATGCTGATGATGTTGATGATGATGTTATTGATAGTAATGATGAACTTGTTGCTTATGATGATGACGATGATGATACGACGATGATGATGATGACGATGATGATGTTGTAGCAGTAGTAGTAGTAGTTGCTCATAGGCCATCTAGCCTTCCAAGTATCGCTTCTACCAGTTCCATTGGCCTTTCCGTGAGTTCTCCCCTTTCTCCACCAGACCACGTGTGCATCTGGCCATCTTCAGCGTTTGGCATTCCATCCTTAAGTGGCCTACTGTTTCGACTCCCTTTCCACACAGTCGACATCCAACTTCGTCTATGAGATCCCTCCTTCTTTGATAGCATCTGAGGGACATGTGATGTCCGTATCGAAATCTGTTAAGATCTGTCTTTGTTTTTTTCCCCATATCATCTTCTTTTTGCTAATCGAATCGGTATGAACTTCCTTGCATCTGTCATGCTGAAGTTGTTTTACCGGGACACTTTCGCCTATGATCATTTTCGCACGGCTTTGTGTGTGATTTTCTTGTCTTCCGTCTCCTTCTTTCTACCTTCATTGGCGTCTCTCTCTACCTCCTCCACCCTACAGTGACCGGGTTTCCATGCCGCCACCACCTTCTTGCTATTTTGACCAGCTATTTTGTCTTTCATCTTTACATTCTTCCCATCATCATTCTTTACATCTCCCATCGCGTCAAACATGGTCAACATGCTGTCTGTTGGTATTGTTGCTTCCTCCCATTCGTCATAAGCACCAAGCCATTCCAATGCCATATTCATTGCCCTTCTTTCGCAATCCAGACTGCTACATCCACCCCTTACCCACAGATGCTTCTTCTTTGTGCAGCAGACCACCTTCATTATACGCAGCCACTGCCGCAGTACCTCTTTTTTGCTGGGTCCGTTGGGCCATCAGTGTAGATTTTCAGATCGTAAATACTTGCTTGGTTGGTTATTTCCACCGTAGCGTCATACTGCTCATTCTTCGAGCTGTTTTTATTAAATTTGGTTAACTGGTCTTGACTCGTCCCAGTCTCCCTGCTGTCCCCACTGAGTACCCCTGCTCTGGACTTCGAACGGCTGCTCTTTCTGCTGAAGTGGTCTGAAGTGGAACTTGATGCCTGATGATGCCTCCAACGGATCCACAATACTTTGTTTACGCAAAATTGTCGTCGCAAACAATAACCAAATTAATTTCCAAAAGTTGACATTATATTCGCATACATTCATCGACATACAATCACTAACATACAAACATCAACATACAATCACCAACATACAAACATCAATATACAATCACCAATATACAAACATCAACATACATACATCAACATACAAACATCAACATACAAACACCAACATACAAACATCAACATACAAACATCATCATACAAACATCATCATTAACACCACCAAGCCAGCAAAACTAGACATACATATGAATGAATACAAAGAGATATAATTGCCAGAATATAAACATCAAAATACGATCACACGAACACAAATACAGAAATAAACACACAAAAAGAACCTAAACATACAAAGTACTAACATAGCACACAGACACAAATGAGCAGGTTACATAATGAATGTAATAAATAAAGTTAGTAAGTTTGAATTAGAATGTACAACTTCAATTAGGTCCTCCCCACCTCAATCAAAGTTTTTTATTTCTCTTCTTTATTCTGTTGTTTATTTTCATTATTTATTCTTGTTATTTTTTAATGTTGTTTATTATTGTATTTTTTTGTTATTGTTTGTTTTAATTTTTTTGTCTTTGCTGTTACATATTTTTGTTGTGGTTAATTTTCATTATTTATTTTTGTTATTTTTTATTTCTGCTGTTCATTCTTGTTGATGTTGTTGTTGTGTATTATTGTTGTTGTTGCTGTTGTTGTGTATTATTGTTGTTGTTGCTGCTGTTGTTGTTGTTGTGTATTGTTTCTTGTTTTTTTATTTTTGTTGTTGTTTATTTTTGTTTTCATTTATTTTCGTCGTCGTTGTTGTTGTTTTTATACTTTTGTTGTTGTTTATTTATGTTGTAGTTTGTTTTTTATTAGTGTTTATTTCTTTTATTTATTTATTCAACAGCACACGAAATGAACGGCAGAAATAAAAGATGACAAAAGTTGCATCATATTCAGAATTTTTGAGTCTGCAATTGAAATTTTTTATTTGATAACTTATCTACCGTAATTTTATCTTCATTATTCAACTTATTATCGTAATATACAATATTTTTCTCCAAAGACATGTTATTATCACAAACACATTGTTAACGTTATCACAGAATAAGCGTCTTTTCGGCAGCCATTGCAATCTTCATTGTATTTGATGATGTTGATTGAATAAAGTTAATAGAAAATGAATCAATCACACCACCCACCCACACACACACACACACATATATATATATATATATATATATATATATATATATATGTATATATATATATATGTGTGTGTATATATATATAGTTATTATCTCTACGCCTCTACGCTAATATACGTAGATGCATGTTTATGTTACAAAGAGTCAAATAGAGAACACGCCGGCTAACGAGCGATCAGTTGAAATGGAGGAAGATAGGAGAAAATATTTTTCAATTTATTTTGTTTATACAAGCAATGGAGCGAGACATCAACAACAATCAGCAGCTTGCACGTTCCTCCAATGTTCAATCGCAACTTGCATGCATGCTCTCTTTCAAGTTTTCTTCAATTTAAACTTCTATTGACAGCTTTCTGGAGGATGACTGAACTTACAATAATCACGGATTTTACTAAATCAGTAAAACAGAAGATCATGCAATCTAAAGTTGAAGAACTCTTCGCCACAAACCTAGTAACATCATCTCATACTCTACACAGATGGTTCAAAAGTAAATGAATGAACAACAGTAGCTGCTATCATTGATTAAACATAAATACTAATGCATTTACAATATAACACCTATGTTTTCCGAAAATTTTGAGCTATTTTGATAATTTATGCCTCCTTGATTAGATACATAAATAAATAAATGATTGACTAATTAAATGAATGAATGAACAAATAAAAACATCATGTATTTATAATTTATTTTTTAAATATTATTGAATGAATGAACGATAGAATGAACGAATGATTGATTAAATAGATAAATAAAAACATTAAGTTTTCATTACGTATTTGTAATTTATTATCTTCACACTGAGAAACAAGCCGACACAGCGACAAAACAAGGAAACGCAACCAGACCAACACGACACACCGTAGCAACGACCCACCACACGACAACGTGGCGTGACACGACACACGACACAACGCAGAAGAAAGCATAACAAAACACTACACCACACAAAATTACACTACACGAAACACAGCCACACACGACACACGCCACAGCAAGCACATGTTCATAATATTCATTCTGGTGAATATTTGTCGGATTGTTGAGCCATTTATATTCTAAGCATCGTTCGCTTAATACAAAACGCGCCAGCATTAAATTCATTAATAATAGCAGCGAAGACTTTATTGCTTGACCAAATATGCGCAATGAACATGATGAATGTGTACAATGCATCTGCTGAATGTTGCCAACATTATGCTCGCTCCTGGGGCTATCAAACATTTTGGCTCCGTCCGTTTATAACTTCCCCTCCGAATTCATTGAAACGTTACGTGCCAACTCTCTTACTTCCAAACATTTATTTCGCACATTCATTTCTTTCTATCCCTAATTCATTTTCTTTTGTTTTTTGTTTTACCGAAAACTATAAAGTTATTGATAATTTACTATTTGAAAATAAAAGAAATGCATGTCGCATGCACTTTGTGATGAGCATAAATACAACTTTGCACAATATTATCGTCAAAGATTATTCATTTTAAACTGTTTTTAGAAGACTTAAATGTTCACTGAGGAACTTAGGCTTTTATCCCAATAGCTTGATGTTGAGAGATGCGGTCAAGCATCTTCAACTGTTCGTTCATTGCTCGCTATATTATTTCCGTTCCAACGAAACGATTGATTCTGTTGTTCGAAAAAAAATCGTTTCATTATTTTTCATCTCTAAATACTTATTGACGATGTTTCAGGTTCAGTTGCCTCTTCACGCTAATTTAAAAGTATCAATTTAAAAGTATCAATTTAAAAGTAGCAATTTAAAAAATGCACGCCTGACACATTAAAAAACTTAAAATAATTCAACATCATGTATTTCATTAGCATTTCACAATTAATTTATTATTTAAAATTACACTTGCCCATATATCAGCACGTTTTGAGGCAGACAATGCAACTCTAAACAATAAAATACACTAGAACAAAACAGACCACAATACAACACAACACAATCTCAAATATGAAAATAAAATATAAAACAACACGACGCAAAACAATACAAAACATTAAAATACAAAACTCCGGCATTACGACAGTCCCATCAACTGGCGCCCAGCCAACGATAATAATCCCAGCCAGGCAAGTGCAGGCGTACGTTACGAGGCAGAGAACATTAAGTATGGCAAGCGAACGACTTCAATCCTTATTAGCCGGCAGAAATGCATGTAGGTAGGCAAATCTGCGTTACAAGCAAATAAAATAAATGACAAGAAGTTTTTAAAACAAAAGCCTCGAATAAATTTAAGATTGGTTCGTCTAACTGCCTAACGACGGAGAATAAATCCCGCTCTTATATTGGGAATTAGTCATTAGTTCATCGTTCATTCACTCGTCGGATTAACATGCTTCAATTGATACTCGATTCGTTATGCTCATCGTTGGTGTTGGTGTTGTTGTGGTTGTTGCTATTGTTGTTGTGGTTGTTGCTATTGCTGTTGTTGCTGTTTGTGAGGTTGTTGCTTATGATTTTATAATCAATGTTTTTCACTACGTTGTTGCTGTTGTGCTGGTCATGATGATTTGGTTCATGTTCTTGTTTTCAATGTTTTGATGTTCCTCTGATGTTGTTGTTGTTTGGCTGCTGTTGTTGCTGCGGCTGGTAAGTGCAAACATTGCTGCTTATGTTATTATTTGGGCTAGGGGTTATTTATGATTTTGATTTAAAAAAATGACCTTACGACCAAAAAAGGTCGTTAAAGGTTGGTCAATGCGGCCCTCACACAAAAAGTTAGTCCACCCCTTGGTCAGTGTAAACTTAGCCAGGGAAGGAATCTAACAATCAAAACAAAAATTATCGTTATTTATATTATTGTTCTTATTATTATTGTTGTTGCTGTTGTTATTATTATCATTATTTTTTATTGCTATTCTTGTTATCATCATTATTATTATCACCGTCATCACCATCGAAAACTCTCTCAATCCACTCTCCGCACAGCATGTGAGTGCACTTTTTGTATGAATGATTAGGAGACCAAAAAAAGAAAATTAATTCTAATGGACTCGAAATAACTTAAAAATATGTAATGTACGTAGGTATGTGGTTGGCGGGGGTCTCCTCGCATTCAAACCCGGTCACTACTGCCAACATCTGCAACTAATAAATAATTAAGACCATACTTATTTTTGCGTGCCCGATCACTTCCAACAACATTCTGCCAACATAACTTTGACGGACAATGAAAAAGTGCATCACAAGACATAACATCACATCTTATGACATCACATCTTATGACATCACATCTCGTGGCATCACATCCCACACCACACCACACCACACGTCATCTTATTACATCACAACACGACGCAACTCGCACTGTCCACAGACTTCCTCCTAATAAATGAAATACCTTCATGCCACGTTAAGCAAATAAACAGACGCATGCTGCATTTAAACGTCGGATAAATTGTTTTCTAATCCGCCAAATACACTAAGACGCCGTCGATAAACGAAATTTGCAGATATGCATTCAGGCGTGAATTGTTGAGTGGAGCGTGCTGGCTGGTTGGCCAGCTGGTTGACTGGCTGGTTGAGTCGTTACTTGTCTGGTTGACTAAATGGCTGACTGGCTGATTGGCAGATAAGTTTACTCACTAGCTGACTGGATTGGATGATTGACGGACTGAATAATGGCTTCAATGCAGGGCGTATTTAGACAACTTTAACGAAACCAACATAGGACGGGAAGCTAAAAACTGAAAAAACTCGGCGACGTTTTTACACTTTTTTAGTTTTTGGACAATTTTGTGTCAACCGTCTTATTTAAAACCGTGTTTGCATGTATAAAAATAACTGGGTTTTAAAATGTATTTACACAATATTTGTTGGCAAAATTTTCAAAAAATTATAACAAAATGATTGTTGACCGTTGATAACCCCCCAGCCACCCGCTATGCTCGCCACTGAATTCAATGGCTTGTTATGTTACAACATCAATGTTGCTTCAGATAGATACTCTCTATCAAGAAACAAATACAAAATGGTTGCAAAATAGTTTGGAATAGTTTAACTACTTTTTCCAGTTTAGTTAGCTATTCTCAAAAATAAATTTATAACTATAAATTAGCTATTTATTTTTAGTTGCAACCCCAAATATTTAGTTAATGCCAGTTCGTCCTTGTTTGGAAGTTAATTAGGCGCAGGGGCACAGTCAGAAGTTTTCAACTTTCTTTCTGCTTATCAAACAATTTTTAACAAACTTAGCTATTATTGGTCTTGCGTAAAATTAAACTGATTTATTAAATTTTATTGTTATGGTAATAATTTTCTGTCCAAATTTTTATAAAATTATGAAAAGATTTTGCTCAATTTTATCTTAAACCTGCAAATTTTAACTATCGTGGGGGGCTTCAATTTTAATATAAAAAGCGATTATTATCACTTACTAAGAATGTGGGTCATTTATTGCGGTGTATATAAATTGTATATAATTTAATGCCCAAAATTAAAACAGCAAATTATGGTTGAGGTTTTGAAGATGCGGACTGAAAACATGGCGGATGTGTCGGTTTGTAAAAATCTCGTTCAGAAAGAGCTCCAGCACACTTCAATACGTGGCGTGTAATATTAAATTCAACTTATCAAAATGCATCTAAATAACGTAATGGAGCATGCTTATAGGCGAAATAAAGACCCTACAGTAATGGTTGGAACGAGCATTTTTGAAACAAGGCATGAAAAATCAACGGGCGAGATGTTAACAACAGTGCGACTGGCACGAGCAACAACTTGTGTTGTGTGTTTGCTAAATGTTATTTGCATTTAATGATGTGACGTCCATGGGCAGAATTGAATAAAAATTAGTTTCGTTTATTGCGCGGTACGCGAGACGAGAATGCTCGTTTAAATATTCCAATCACGAGAGCGTCAGTAGGAATCGCTTAATGGGGCCGGAGTGGTTTGAACACGAGACAAGCGATGTTGGCTTTCCTATCTTTGTTTGTTAAACATTTTAGTTGTTTGCATCACTTTCAGAGCATTAAAAATTGTTTTTCTAAATGTTTATTAAACGGCTGCCTGAGGAGCTGTTGTGCTTGCTACCTCACAACGATAACTATTTTTAAAACAATTTATTTTACTTTTCCCTGATCAACAAATTATGAAAGCAAGAACGATATTCACAAACCGACGAAAGTGATCGAGGCAACTCAAAAATTTGTTTTCTAGTTATTTCGTTGTTTGGTTCTTAATGCTTATTTGACTTTTAATAAAATTTGTGTAATAACACTCCACTTGCTAGAAGACTCCATTCACACTAACATTTCATTCGCAACAACCCTGGCGTGCTAAACTGTGACACTTGAAGATGGTACATAATCGTCCTCAAATGATGGTTAATATCTAATTAACTTACAATTTTCAACTATTAAATGGTGCATGAATAAACAACTAAAAAGCTTGAACACGAAAATTAATATGCCAAATTATGAAAACTAAACAAAAATAAAACAACAGATTTTAAACCATTTGCTGAGTGTTATCATTAGATGGGCAATTGTTTTATGATGATGATGATTGAGATGATGATGATGAATGTTATTGTAGTGATGATGATGATGGCGATGATGATGATGATGGAGGGGAGGACGTTTAAAATCAACAGACAGGAAATAAACGGTAGCCACGTGACATATGGGCTCATGCGTGGTTAAACAATTTCATTCGAGTAAACGTCTACGTGATGTGTGAAGTGTTGGAAGCAAGATGTGTGTGTGTGTGCGTGTGTGTTTGTGAAAGACCCGAGCGGGAGTACCTTCCCATGCAGAAAGAAGAAACCTCATTCATTACACCAGAATAACCAGCATGCTATTCAAATACACAAATTATTTACTAATGAACTATGTGTATAAATATAAACAAAACAAATTGTGTTGGTGCTACGACTGTTTCGTTGAAAATTTAACTGCTGCTAATAAAACAACCCCCCGCAACATCAGACAACATCAACAGTCCAAATGGAGGGAATAAACTGTGCTACTTCACGTGCCAAACAACAATTGAAACAACACCACGATCGATTCCCAACGATAAAAGGGGACAACATGAACGTCAACGTCAGCACAACAACATGGCATAAGTATCCAACAAATTAGTCCAGCCATCAATGAAAACATTTTGAACAACAGGAAAAGCGCAATCACAACGTAATGACTCCGCCGCACTCATCTGCAGTACAACAATAACAACAACCACAACCAACCACAACAACAACCACAACAACAACCACAACAACAACCACAACAACAACCACAACAACAACCACAACAACAACCACAACAACAACCACAACAACAAATGAACCAAAAACACAACAACAGCAGCAGCAGCAGTAATAAAAGACTACAGCGAATCACTAACTCATAACACACGCTTTAAAATCAACCGATCGAAATGAACGAGTCGTTTGGGCCTGCTGTGTCGTCATGGTAACTGCGAGATCAAAGATGGCTGCCATGCGAAACTGGTGCAAACATGCGCACTGTCGTCATCAGACATAATCACGTGATGTATGACGTCACTGGAGTATTGCATCAGTTTATATGTTTCAAACCATTTAGAGATTGTTCCATTAATTTTTCTTTGAAAAAGTTTACGCTCATGATTCCTCTTTTATCGTTGAAGGACATGCACGCATTTCGACGGACAAGTATTGTGCACGATACACATGCATACATACATTCACACACACCTGCATAGGTACATTTATACGCGCACCTAAGTGCATACACACACACACACACACACCGATATAGGTAAGGCACACACACAGTGAACTAATGCCAGAGCAAACCAATGTTACCAAACATCTAAATATGTGCTACCAGACACACACATACAGAGATAGAGAGAAACGTACACAATATAAACAACAAAATAACGACACGAGTTACGTACGCAGAGAGTACAGATGATCATAACGTGTCTCAGCTCTGAGACTGTGTTAATTTGAATGCGTTGGCATACGCGCCGGCCGACGAGTGTTGTACGCTACCTTTTAATATCACGGTACCTCGTAATATTAATTAACTCCATAAAACAAAAGTTATTTTGTGTGATGGACAAAAATCTAAATTTAGCTGCTGCGCCTATAGTTTTTGAATAAACTATATTTCCGTAAGTCACAGTAAACAAAGAACGAGTATGGAAACATTTGAAAAGTTGAGAAATAATTACAAGTGAGAAATAAATATGCGGCGCGATGACGTAACGTGTAATGGCGATGGTTGATGCGCCTGGTGCTGATGTGGCACGTTCGAAATCAGTGGATCCCCGCCAATCACGTGCACAGTACGGTGCAATGCGTTCAACCACGTGTTGTTCATAACTCAGAAAAAATTAAAGAGAAAATTGTAAGCTTGCCTGACTCCTGCTCGCTGTTCTCATGTGTTTGTTAAAAACTCGTGCACAAGGCAGGCGCCAAGTTTTTTCAGAAGCTTCTTGATAATTTCGCTAAATTGAAACATGCGTCAATTCTTAAATCGTTCTACCAAATCATCAAAAAAACTTTGGCATATAATAAATATTGACCAATATTAGCAGCGTAACCAATCTCGAACAGGAGCCAGGTCATAATAGTATAGAGACGACTCACACGCAGAAGAATTAGAAAGGCCTCGAGAAGGTATTGTTCAGCCGGGACGGGACGCGTCAGTTGTCAAGAAACATTCATTTTGCTTACTAATTGTGCTCTCCATCGAACAACGTACACAACGTTATAAAACTAATATTTTCTTATTGAAATTAAATGTAAATAATACTGAATTAAAATTATTCCTATTTTAACGTAGCATCCTTAACAATAATAAAAATTAATCAACCAATATTAGTTAATTAAAATAATCACAAACAAAAATCGAGTTTTTTTAAAAACATTTAGTCAAGTAAAATTTTTAAAACAAGCGCCTGAGCTGGTTTGAGAAGGACAGATTGTAGTGAAATTGAGGTGTTGACCATTTGCGAGCTCTCTGTGTTCATGAGTACAAACGCAGATTTATATCGGTCTTTGGCATAATTGTAGGTCGATATTTCAAATCCAACATTCATGGCTACCAAAAATACTTCGTCGCTTTCGTCCTCATCATCATTTCTAGCGAAACTGTTGAAAAGCTCACCTTTGTGACGAAAAAATGACAGAATGTTCTCATTAACAACGTGGAAGGTGATAAGTCCGTTTTTGAAAACTTCATGCTGTCGAATGGCAGCAATTCTTTTATAAATGTTCAAATGAGATATCTCTTGTTTTTTCTGTGCCTAGGTATGGAGCGGTTAGTTTTTTATGAAGCAATTACTGTTAAAAGTCAAAAGAACTAAAAGACTTATATATCATTTTTATAGGAATGAAATTGAATGTTAATGTAATCTTAAGAATGACATCGGCTCATTCACCATCTACTATGCATGCATGTGGGTTTGTATGAACCAGTCAACACTATGTATCATAAAGTTAAGATTTAAGTTGTTCATAGAAGTTTGCGTTCAAACTATGCCAACAAGTAATTGCTATCTTATCATAAAGTGGACTTGCAAAACTAATCTAGTGAGATAAAATGAGAAACAAACTTGAACATTTCTGCATTTGTAGGATGGATGTACAGGTAGCCAGGTGTGTTTGGAGGAGGAGAAGCCGGCGTTGACATCATCAGACCACTGCATGGGAGCTCTGCACGGGTCCCTGCTCCCTAACATGAACTTCTCCTGTTGATACAACACAAGTCAATAACTGTTGAACTGCTGCAGTTATTATTCAATAGTGCAACAAAATAATCGAACATGTCGTGGCGACTTTCTTCAACGCCATGGAAAAAACTGATGAAGCAAAGAAAATATAATGACCTCAGGATCTTTACACATGCAAAATTAGATAAAAGGCTGCCTTAAGGTTGCTACCTCTTCCGGAAAGACCCGGAGATTTCGGGAATCGAATCTCATCTCCCGGAAGTTTTTTACAAATCACAAAAATATCCCGGAATTTGGCAGCTAACATGCTAACATCACAAAAATATCCCGGAATTTGGCAGCTAACATGTTTTTGAAAAAAGATGTAGTAAAAAAATAATGTTGGAACGCAAACCAGCCATAATCAAACTACAACTTAAAAAATTATTATTGTTGGCTTGGGTTAATCGCACATCTTTGTTTGGTTACCCGTAGGCATCGCAAGCTGAATTTTCAAAAACAGAGTCGTAGTTTTTTGTTTAATTAAAAAATTAAAATGTCTAAATCTGCTAAAGTGTCTTAAATCTGTACATCTGTCTAATAGAAGAAATAATTTTGTTCATTCAATGATGAACGGTTGAAAGAGGTAGATTTAAAAGACTGGCTGATTAGGAATTCGGAATATGATGCTGAATGCAAAATATGCCGACCAACATTCACAATAAAATACGATGGGTTCAAATCAATATCAGCTCATGCAGCATCCGAAAAGCATAAAAAATTGTAAGCTAAACAAGAAACAATTCGATAACGACAAGTTTTTTTTTACGAAAATTAAATACAAGAGAAGATGATCTGGTTACTGCTGCTGAAATAGCGATAACATACCATGGTGTAAAACACCACCAGTTATGCTAGTCAAGATTGCGGAAACAAGAAGCTTGCAACTATTTTTCCAGAATGCAGTGTTGCAAAAAAATTGCTTGTGGAAGGACAAAAGCGGCATGTTTAATTAAAAATGTCATCGCTCCTTTCGCGCAAGAACAACTGTTACCTGAACTCCACGAATCGTTATGCTTCTCTTTGGCGACTGATTCGTTAAAGAAATAAAAATTTCAAACTCTATCCGGTAAAAGTTAATATTTTTCAAAAGTTGAAAGCATTAAGCATGGTTTGTTAGATTTTCATGAAAATCCAAATAAAAGCAGTAAAGCGATAATGAGTAATTTGGTACAAGTATTGAAGAAAAATGGACTAGACATGAGTCAAGTATCTACATTTTCTATCAATAATGTAGCAGTGAATTTTGGTAAGAGTCTCTTCATATCGTAGATTGGAGAAAAAAAATGGACAACTTATTGCAGCAAATTGCAAATGCCACATTCTTCACAACTGTGTTAAACACGCATGCAAGGCTCTGTCAAAGGATGTCTATATTCTTATTCTAAGAATTTATGCAGAATTTTCTAGGATATGCATAACGTGCAACCCAGCCTCATACATTTGTGGATTATGTCAATATTCAGTATTTCTAAATTCTCAGACATGTACGTATCAGGTGGCGGCTATCTTTGCTTCCAGCAGTTGAAGAATTCTTACTTTGGCCAGCGTTGAGGTCTTATTTTTTTTCCCAAAGAGAAGACTGTTCTAAAATAATTTGAGATGCATTCAAAAATAAAGAAAGCGATTTTTTTTTTCAGAAATTTATCGTTATTTCATACACTAGTCTATTAATAACTTATTTTATTTATTTGTCATTTTAAACCATTACTATATTCTATTTTCCATACTTTTCAGTCTTAAACATTTTTTCTCCGTTATTTATTTTTCGTTATCATTTTATACTACTGCCTCGCATGCCGTAACAGTTTCTGCGTTTGTCAAAATCTGATTTTTTTAAAGAATAAAAAGAAGTTAAAGAAGATGATGAGGATGAAAAGGCAGTAGCAGTTGGAGGAAAAAGAAAATCATAAATATGTTGATTAAAAACAGACAGAAAACTAAATATTTGGAACGTAATGAAACTGATGAATACTTAATAGTAAAAGTGGAATCCCAAAAGTCAAACCCATGTGAATGATGGAAAATCATATATTACAATATTCCGTCCATACTGAGTAAAATGGCACGTGATTACATTTGTTTCCCATCAACTTCCGTATCGAGTGAACAAGCTTTTTAAAAATCTGGAGAACTGATGAAGAAAAAAATAGATTGGGAGAAAGTTCATTTGAAGCATGTATGTGTTTAAATGCTTGGTTAGAATTACTGGATAAATAAAACTTGTGTATATGTTCTATTTTAATTAAATTTTGAATAAAATATGTTTCAAATTCACTTGCGTCATTTCTTTCATGTCGATATTCGTACATAAAGCGAGCAAAATTTTAATATATAAAGCGCATATGAATCTAAGCATATTAAACTTTTTTGTTGGGGGAAATGCGCATTCATCGACTTCGCGGCTTGGATCGGCTCGGCTTGGATCGACTCGGCTTGGACCTTCAAGCCGATTCGACTCGACTCGGAATTTTATCGGCTCGGCTTGCCGTTAACATCCTTATGTAAAACCATGTTAACTTATTAAGTTATTTCATAATAAAAAAAAATACCTTACATAAGCATAACTTAAATAATATTGCAATGAAAATTAACACCACGAATGTAATATTTTTAGAATACGAAAAAAAAGTGATGACCAACTGGACCAAGGTTTTTTGCAAATGGATCCTGAACGTGTTCATATGGGAGGAGTTCAATGTCCAGCATAGCCAACTCTTCGCCATAATACGTGAATGCCGTCCCTGGCAGTGTGAGCAGCAGGACATTGAGAAGGTCTGCGTATTGTAGTCCCGTCCGAGTTGCCACGCGGGAGATGTCGTGGTTGCCCAACTGAAAATTTAATTGGAGTACAGCAACGTTTCATTCCATGAAATTTCATTCTTCCACACTAACCACAAAGTTTGGCCACTTTCCCTCAGGTAGGAGTTGTAAATGCAACTCAATTTCTTTTCTAATATAAGACCCAGAAAGTGCATTTTTCTTATGAAGAGAAGTTAACGAAAAGTTGAACGACATGTCTGAGCCAGAGTGATAATATTTCGCACACTCCACCGAATCTGAACTGAAGACTTCAGTAACCATGAAACTTCAGAAGGTGTCAAGTTAATTAATAATTTAAGCAGCAATCGAAATAAAAATGCCCCGAGAAAAAAAATTGCATGCAAATTAATTACAATAATTGGTCCATTGTGGGGACTAAAATTAAATAAAAACAATAATAATGAGAACTCTTTTATTTCTTCAAAAGCCAAAATATAAATAAAAATTACAATTAAATATAAAATGATCAATTATTATAATAGTTAAAATAATAATAACAATAATAACAAAAACAAAACCAACAAAATTTGAAGTGTTATTAAAAATGAAATAATAAATTAATTAATCATAAGTTTATTATAATAATTATAATAATATAATATAAATTATAAATGAATAATAACAAATTAATTAATTATAAGTAAATTAACTCAAACTCACAATGAAAAAAAAATAATTCAATAAACAATATTTATATTCAATGGCCAATCGTTCAATAGCTAAACAAAAGACATTGGAGCGGAACTTACATGTACTTTCCAGTTCTCTGCTCATGCGCATTGAACAGAACTCTGAACTGCTGCAACAGATCATGGACCTCAGGCTGGTTTACAGTGTAAACGTGCTCCAAGTAGTCGTAACTATCCTTTATGTGATAATGTCAGTCGAGATTTTAAACTAGGTCAGGTCAAGATCAGAAAACAACATTAAAATGAAGGAAAAGTTTACAAAGTTGAACGCATTATGACGAAATAAGTATTTAATATTAACATGCTTGAACAGCTAGTCATCTGTAAGCTTGTGTTTGTCTACAATTAGCCATGCTAAAATACTTGCTACAGAAAAATTTTGAGCCAAACTATAAAGATTAAATATGTAATGAAATGGTCAGTAAATTATCATCATCCTCTGTTGAGAACATTTGCTTACAGGTGAAGCATCACTTTTGTTGCTCCTGGGTTCGTCGAGGAACCTTTCATCTTTGAACAGATGCATGATCGCATCCATTCGAAACCCATCAACATCCCGGTCCAGCCAAAACTGCAAGATGTCCTGTCACCCAAAATAAAGATTTTTCAACTTGCAGGATGCATAAAATAAATTTTTCTGAACATTTTTTTTGTTCTCGCAGGTAAAATTTTCAATACAACGCTAACAACAATAATTAGTATAGTCTATAATAATTCTTTCCTAATTGATTTTCAGAAGTATCAACAACAAATAAAACACGATGCATGTGACTAGGCGTGAGATGGAGCATGAGACTTGAGACACACTGCTTGTCTCATTTGCAATGAAGATCTCTTTTGCATTCAAACCCAGCCACGGCAATGCGAACCAAGACGCCATCAACCATTTGACATCTCGCCACCCACCAGACTGACTGAAAGGGATTTCAACAAACAACCGATCAGCAGTTTTACATTTAAAAATAAAAACTGCTACGAACATTTTAATATTATGCAGTGTGGCAAAACAACTTGACGATAAATTATATATGGGCAGCGTGATGGCCTAGTGGTTAAAGGCACCTGGTCCTGTTTTGCAGATCGTGCAGTGACCGGGTTTGAATATGGCAAAAGGATCTCCGCTTACTACATATTCATATATATGCTGTTTCTGTGTTGTTGATTCCTCTGAACTACGGAAGAGTGCATCTTTAACTTTTTATATGAAAACTTAAAAAAACAAATTTAATGGATACAGACGAGCAACTCTTTGACAACTGAAGGATTCCTGAGGTTGAGATCAGGTTGGTGTGCGGTGAACTGATGCAAATAAAATTGTTGCCTGTCTTCATTCCAAGTCCAAGCAGGCCCGTTGAAAGCTGACAACTGAGTAAGGTTGAACAAATAATAAAACTTTTAACAACTGGATGCATTTATTGAAAACCAACGTGTTAAATTATGAATAACATCACCCAATCATCGCTAATGAAGTGCAAAATTTCCTGAAGCATGAAATGAAATTTATAATTTAAGTAGTAATACTGTCAACAACAATACTTTTTGTAACCGTCACTCAAATATTCAACACATTCAATTCAAGACTGTTCAAGAAAGTGGAAAATAACAACAACCACGTCAAACATCCTCTACTACCACCAATCAAAAAGGTAAAACAATAGTGACAATGATAGTAATAAAAATAATAGTTAAAAATTGAAACCCAATTGTTCGGCTTCTTGGGTTGTTGAGAGGCAGATGAACATTGCGAATGATTTCCCCCCTCAACATCGGAGCGATGAGTGGCAACTCCCTCAACAGCCACCAAAGCATTTCCCTCTCCCACCTGACCAGGAGCATACTCCTCATCAACTTTCCCATCCTTCCATATGTAGTAATCTCTGTACGGATTGCCTGAATCATCCTTGCAACTGTTTATAAACCACTGGTGTTGTGTGCTGGTGTGGTTTGGGATGAAGTCCATGATAACTTTTATATCTGCCAAATAATTAATTAAACGTTGGCTAGAAAATAATTAAAATGAAACATTGCTTGTTTAATTGGTACCTCTTTTATGAGCCTCATGAATCAAATCCTCGAAATCATGCAGAGAGCCAAACAGTGGGTCGATGTCTCTGTAGTTCGAGACATCATAACCGTGGTCGATCATTGGCGAGCAATATATCGGGCTCAACCAGATGGCCTCAACATTCAGAAAGACAAAGTAGTCCAAATGGTTTATGATACCTTGATCAGTGAATAACAAATTATTATACCTATTTGTTTGTTGATAATGGTATTATTGCCATCAAATACAATTCCTATAACTATCAATGTTTGTAGAATTAATTTATTGCAATGGACAAATGTAAGAATGTTTAACAATTTTTGGACGTCAGCATGCCACTGAAAATGTTATCTTACAACTAGTGGCAGGACTGTTCAACATAAAAATTATTAAACAACATTATGTTGCAGCATCAGAACTTTAATCAAGTAAGAAGTGGAGAATGTCACGAGGATGTCAATTTCACGAGGAGAATGTTAAACATACTCTCACACGTCTAAGCACTGATGAAAGCTAACACTGAAGATTAGCATAACATTAAATTAATTATCAAATTGAGTTGATAATGTCCAAAACGGCCAACTCAAGCTGAATTAATGAATTAAATTAAATCGCACAGCTACTTCTAACATTATAGTGCATTCCAGAGCTTCTATGATTTTTTGTTAGTTTCTAGTTTTTATAGTTTGAACAAATGTTTGATTAGATGCTTCATTAAAATAATGAAAAGATAACATGAATGATGACACGTGAACATGCAACCCTCAAAGTTGGGCATGTAATAATTTCATCATAAATAAACATTGCAGTTACATGTTGTCACACGATAGTCATCAATAAAATTAAAATGCTAAACTAAAATATAAACATAGGTGTAAAAATGGATACAATGAGGTGAACAAACAACAACAAAACCTTGCAAGTCTCCAATGCCATTGCCTGTTGTATCTTGGAAAGATCGTGGATAGATTTGGTAAACTATGACATGCTTCCACCAATCTTTATTTGAACCGATCTTCAACCTTTTTGACATGCTTTGTCACATGCACATGACTTGAAATTTTTGAATTTGACTTTAAAAAAATATCGTTATGAGAACTCAGTTTTTCAAATGCAAATGCACTTTTTCGTTCATTGTACTATATCATAAACAATCTAGAATATACCACCAGTGTGCCATTCCCAACTTAATTGAGAAAAAGAAAAATTATGTTTTTATTTTGCAATAATAATAAAGAGACACCAATAGTTTATTATTATAATTATTAATAATTATAATTGCAAAATAAAAACATCCTAAATTTCCTTCCATTCCATTGAGTTGGGAATAGCACACTGGTGGTACATTCCAGATTTTGTATGATATAGTATATTGAATGAAGCAGTGCATTTGCATTTGAACTTATTAACCTTTCTGCTTAGGACAATGTTTAAACTTAGTTTTTCGTCCAAAAATGTTTTCATTCTTCAGACATGCTCTTGTCCAAATAACTCTTGTATTTTTTGCTTCAAGATTTATGATTGCAATTGTATTTCTAAAATAATTTATAAAGTTCATATTTTTTCCAGAAATTTTTGTTCACATCAACCCATCTTCATCTTCCTGAGACTAATTGATCTCTTTGATTGAACTGTTAACATTTTCTTTTGTGAGTCTATTGCTCATATTATGAATATGTCCATAAAATAATAATCATTATTATCTGGTCATGTCTGTCTGAATGTTCAAGTAAGTCAACTCTTCAATAGTTCCCTTCACCCTTTATCTAAATCCAACTCCATGACTTGTGTCAGCAAAATTTCATGAAAACGTGCTAATGCTTTTAAAACTTGGGTAAAACCTTAGAACTACTTTACCTGATTACACTAAACTATGAACATGTTAGATAAATTTGGCTCCCAATATTCAGGAGCTTCCAACTGATGCAAATAAGTTTATTTAATTAAACAAAGCATGAGTGGAACAGCAAGACTTACACACTTAGTCCACTAAATCTTTATTTTAAAAGTTTACCTATAATATCTTAATCTTTATTTTATATCTTGCCTATTGTAGAGCATTTTATTTTAATTTAATAAAAATTCTAAATTGCAATTAAATTACGAAAATGAAATCCCATAACTAGCAAATATGTCAAATAATTACAATCCATAATATTTTTCCCTTTTCAGCAGTATAGTATTAAAATAAAATGTTTAATTATCTTTCTATTATTATTACAATGTAATAATCATAATCATAATGTAATAATTATATTATTATTATTCAATCACTAAATTAAAGGCCGTTTGTAATTTATATTAAAACAATCAATAAGACTAAAATTTAAATAAATTAACATTAATAAATTAATTCTGGTAATAAAATAAATAACAAGAAATTGGAAATCATATTTCATAAGCGAGTACAAAACAAACCGGCAATTGGATACAATTGGAGGATATTGGAAAATCTAAGGAAGGTTTTTTAATATATAATATATATATATTAATATATATTATATTAATATCAACCAATCATATAGCTTGTAAAGCGCCATTTCCGCGATGTTCAACCATGGAATTATATAACTGGAAGCGCCCTACCAGCGTTTTAACATTGAAAATTTTTATCAACGGGCAAGTTACCTTTGGAAGCAAGTTCCTAAAAATTAATTATTCATGAGCATTTTGGTTTATTTTTAGAAAAATCTGAGATATAATTAGAAAAAATCTTGGCCTTCCCGAAGTTATGTTAATGACTCTTTGCCGATCTGCATTCAGCTCGTTTGTTAAAATTTATTTCGTTTTCAACATTCCGTGAAGTTTTAGGTTTTATAAGGTGCCGTATTTAATCGTTAAATAGATATTGCCATTTTTTTGATGCATAAGAAAAATCGAAGATTTATAATAAGTTCGTTAGCGATCCTCATTTTTCTGAAATAAAGATTTCTTCATTCATTTTCCCAGTACCCACGAATCACGATGGTTAGAGAGTAAGAATCATTCCAAAATTAAATTAGAATCTAGAAAGCGAAAAGAAGTCGGTAAAAATTTTATTGTAAAAATGAAATGTTATTAATATTTAAAAAATATAACTCATAATCAATTTTTATATTGTTATAAATAAATAAATTAATCAACTAATAATTTTTAAATTAAGATGTAATTCCTGTGCATATGTCCTAATAAACTAGAATCTTTCAACACCCCAAAGCTTACAATACAAAGGAATATTTGCTTTCAACATAACATTCTTATATATAATTCAATGTGTTCAACAGCGCTCCTCAATGAATTTTGCAAACATATGGGTTTTGAGATCCGCTCTGAACTTCGTAAGTGATGGAGAAGTAGTCAGAGACTTAGGCAGAGAGTTCCAGAGAAAAGGGCCAGAAAAAGCAAAAGCAGATTTACCAAAAGAGTGTTTAACATAATAATATAATATAATAATATAATATAATAATATATATTAAAAGACCTTACTTAGATTTTTTAATGTCTTAATTATATATATATATATATATATATATATATATATATATATATATATATATAATTATTTTTATATGTATATATATATAAATACATAAATATATATATGTATATATATATATATTTATTTATCAATATATAAATATATTATTGAATAAAAGGAATGACAACAACAAAGATGAGGAATACGATACCAGTTAATAAACTTTGCTAAAGAACTTTGCTTTGTTTAAAGAAACTATATAAACCAAACATGCACTGAAGATGATCTATGAAAAATCGAAATAAGGTCTTATCTTGCATGATGAATTCGGATAACAACAATTTCATTAAATTTTCATGATGAACTTGGATAATTCTATTTTCAACAATCTGAACAATTTCCAAAAAATTCTAGAAAGGAAAACTGAAAAGACAAACTAAATTGACTAATGCCAACAATTCGGTAGAATTCATACAATACTTTATAAAATATGGTCTCTTTCCAACATATATACATGTCCCGTAGAATTTTTTTAAATATTTTATTGCAAGAGGTAAAAACTAGAGTACATCATTAGTTGAAAAATGTGTTTAGCTCCATCTTTAAAACAATTTCTTTTCTTAGTCAAAAACCACTTGGAGTGTAAACTTTCACTACGTAATTGACAAGCAATTGCAAATTTTCAGATTGATTAACAGTACTTATATAGCATCTGAGAAAACGGTTAGCACAAGTGAGCCGGCATCTTGAATGGGCTAATTTTCCAGGCTTATGGTTTGCCAGCTCAGTGCTACAATGTCAAGTTTATAGTGCGTGACATATTCAAATAGATATTTCTGGTCTGTACTTAGTTCATTTGCAACATTTTTTGATAGGTCAGGTAAAATTACTGGTCACAGCATTAAAAAACACCGTTGTTTTATTTTCGCAATCCGCTAATTGTTTTCCAATAGGTCCAGCTCTTGGACCTGGAGTACATCTATCTAATGTTAAGAATAAATGACGAAAAAGTAATTCATTGAAACAAAGCAAACAAATATACCATTGCAATGGTTTTTGAAAATGTTTTTCTAAATTCTGAATTACTCCGCTTTCCAACCGTTGTTAGTTGCTGTTCCGTCACATCCCACGCAAATTACATTGTTTAAGTACCAGCATCGATCTTCTAATAAGGTTGAAATTGAATTATTTGTTTGTTTCAATTTAAAAAAGGCTTTGAAGCTCCCATAATGATGCTATGATGTGCCTTATCGAGATTAGCTTATTCTGTATATTTTAAAATTATTGTCAGTAAATACTCGTTATCATTTTCAATTAAATATCAATTTGTAAGTCTATTTATTATTGCGTTTTAAGTCTGATTATCTTTAAGTATGTCTAGGACCATCACCACCAATAGGGAAAATCCCAACCAAGCCCGTCTAAGCATTGAAGCAGGGCCAATTCTAGATATACGTTAAAACCCTTACCTGGCTAATCATATCGTTTAAAAGGCCCATAAACCGACACCGTCCATACAGACGCAGTGCAAAAAGACCGTCCAAGCCCACCATCCGGCTCCCGCCCTGAGCATATATTGGGAACCGTAATTATTGCCGTTTTTTTTACTATGGGGACTATGGGGTTCAACAACGACAAATACTTGGCATGCCTGAGGATTCTTTATTTTGAAAGATAGCTTTCCCATTTGGCGACAGAGCCTCCAACATGCGATTCGTCATTAACAGACGCTCGACACACCTCTGAAAAAGACGTAGATGATGGGTATGCTGGCGAGCCAAAGAAAAAGATGAAGCTGTATTTAATCACAAGTCTAGATTACTTGGATGTCAAAGCTGAGAACGATTAACCTGGTAGCTGGCTAAAGTTAAAGTGGTCCGTGGAAAGCCTCTGTAGATAGAAACGTAGACTGGCAATGCATATATGTAGCGTGATTTTTACCTCTTAAATCCACTGCCTTGTGGCTTCGATAAATTGGGAGTGGAGCCTCTTAGGCGTTGTGATTACTAACTGTGGTTTTCCCTTCGACCGCTCTTGCATCCATGTCGGTGCCAAATATAATGCTTAGCATGCCATTGGATTACATCAACAAGTCGATAGAGAAAAATCATAATGCATGGGCAACTCATGGTTCCATAATAAATGCCCAGGAATGCGCCTTGGAGAGGAAACTCTGAAACTGTGATTTTGCGGCTGAAACAACATGAGAGGCAGCAGTTACGGTTATAGATCCAGCCTCATTGGCGTAAGGTACGTTGCCATGAGTTGCCTCTGACGGGAGGATAAGACTTTGAGCCTTAATGATCAGCTACCACCAGCCTAATCTTGGCATCCCCCAGACAATAAGGAGTTGATCCGCTACAACCTGTCTGCTCTAATGAGTGCTTAGAGCTTAGATTAGATTAACAAGCAGGCTGAACAGCTACGGGAAAATCCAACCTGATTAGTACATAAGCCCTTACACTAGGCTCATTACATGAGGACAAAAATAGTATCATGAAAACCTAAAAGAAACGATTGGTTGCATCTTACAAAAAGAACATCTGTTGGTGCTGGGTGATTTCAACGCCAGATCACAACGCTTGGCCTGATTGCATTTGGCAATTTGGTATCGGTAAGACGAATGAAAACGGACAAAGACTACTTGAATTTTTTTCATACCACAAATTATGTATCGCTAATACATATTTTAAAACTAAACCACAAAGCTGTGTATCGTGGAAACACTTTAAATGGAATTGAATGTAACCTTAACAAGAAAGGTAAAAATTGTCAATATATTATTGACATTTTTATATCAAAGTGCTGAATGTGACACCACTCGTTGGTTTCCTGTAAAATAATGTTGAGACCTCAAAAATTTCATGCTTTCTGGAAAAAAGAAAAGTCGCGTTTGAATACCCCACGTATGTAAAATCGTTATCTGCGCATGGCTTTTGACAACAAATTAAATGAGGCTCTCAAAAACCACAGTTTTACTGATGTTGAGGAAAGTTGACATTCTGTGCGCGATTTCATCTATCAGGTATCTTTGTCGGTTTTTGGAAATAAAGATAGGAAAAATGAGGATTTGTATGAAGACAACTTGTTAGAAATAGAAATTGCTGAAAAAAACATATGAAAAGCTCTGATCTGATAGCTTACAAAAGAGAAACCATAAAAAGCAACCTACAAGCTTTTAGAGATGCAAAAAATAAAATACAAAAACTTGCTAGACATTGTGCGAATAGATGTTGGCAAGATCTCTGTAAAAATATTCAAATTTATGTTGATTCTGGAAAGATAAATTGTATGAAGGTATAAGAAAAGCTTTTGGACCAATTGTTAGCAGATGTGTTCCACTCAAGTCAAAAGATGGTAGTATAATTAAAGACCGTATACCCTATCTTAAATGAAAAGATGGTTGCCTTTCCATTCTGTTGAGAATGATAACAGCCCTCCATGAGCACACACAGGGCGTTGTGCGGTTTGAAGGATGCTCTTCTGGATCGTTTCCCATAAGCAGTAGAGTGAAACTATCTACCTACTTCTATCTACCTGCATCATATCCTACCGTCACTCAGATATTCAACACACTCGGTTCAAGACTGTTCAAGAAAGTAGAAAATAACAACAACCACGTCATCCATCCTCTACTACCACCAATTAAAACTACAACACACAGCCTTCGTCAGCGCAAACATAACTATCAAGTTGCCACCCAATCTACATATTAGGAAAAGACTTTCATCACAAGACACCTCAAACATATTAACACTCAATAAAACTTTATCATTCACACAACTTGTTTTTATTTAATAAAACTTTATCATTCACACAAATAGTTTTTTTTTATTTATCGATCACCTCACTAACTCACAAAGCCATCATCTAGTCTATTAATTTGCGTTTTTATGCCATTACTTTATTTTATTTCATTTATTTTATTATTATTATTATTTATTATATTTTATTTTATTTTTCATGTTAAAGCATTTTTATTTCTCCGTTTTATTTATTTATTTACTTATTTGTTTAATTTTGTACTACTGCCTTGCATGCTGTAACAGTTTCTGCGTCTGTCAGATCCTGATTTTTAAAGAATAATAATAATAATAATAATAAAAACAAGGATGTGTTTTGTCGCCAACACTCTTTGGTATCTTCTTTTCAGTTGTCCTTGCCACTGCTTTCGATGCCACGGAAGATGGAATATACATCTACATACAGTAGATCTGATGGTGAATTATTTAACCTGGCTCGACTTAAAACTGAAACAAAAAGAAGCATTTTTGTCAGAGAGCTGTATTTTGTTTTGGAGACGCAAATTAGTTTACTATGCAATAAGCTGCTTCCTTCGTTACCGCCCTAGAAACCGTTCATTAACGTTGCCAAGTCTTTCATAAAATTTTCACAGATACAAAAAAATTAAAATCCAACAATTAAATCAGCAAGGCATCATCATGACGACAGGACTGTCTGCTTACGAGTTCAAATCGCAAGATTATTTGTCTAAAAGTGACGACAACGTTGACGCTGAAGAAGAACACGAAGATGAGGAGGAGGAAGAGGATGAAAGAGAGATGGTGCGGGTGATTGAGAACGAGGCTGATGTTGATCTCCCGCTGAAGGAAGCCAAAAGTTATTTATCGCTTGAATCAAAAGACTTGTTAGTGATGGCGTAATATATATGAAAAATTAACAATTAGTAAATAATAAACAATATGAATAATTATATATTAATGGTCTTTTCTTTACTCATATTTTAAAATTTAATATAAAAACCTGAATTATTAAATATAAAATAAAGTTAATTAACGAGTTATTAGAATTATAAATAGCTTGAGGTAGAAAATTAAAAAGCGGATAAATAAATTTAAGTAAGGAAGCCTTCTAGGTTAGGAAAAAACTGGAGGCAATAATAATGTTTCCATCAACAATAACCAACAGTTTATCACATTTAATTAAATTATATAAGCAAAAATGAAGTTTGAAAAAACCTGTGTTTTGATAAAGAAATAATTGATAAGATATGTTGATAATATTTTTTTTATTCATTCATATTTATTGATAACATTATTTTCAGATACAATCATCTGGCCAAAGTACTTATTGATATGATTGATTTGAGGCCAAAAAATGCTGTTGATTTTTTTGAAGCTCTAAGTTTAGAAGGAAAAAAGAAATCTCTTTCCTCAACTGAGTTTTTCAGTTCAATTAGTGAAAGAAATATTCAAATGACACTAGGCAGGATACAAAAAAAGATTTTTACTGTAAGTTTCTTAAATAATAAGAATTAACACTTATTTAATATATGAAAAGTAACATGGTAATCTTTTTATATTAATATTTTGCTGTCCACATAAACTGAATAACAAGATAAAGTGTTTTAATTATGATATTGAAAATATTTAATCTTTTCTAGAAATACTTCTTGTTTAGCCATATATGTTCTACTGTTTATCAATAATTTTAGGAAAAACCTGTGTCAATCAGAATGTTTTCAAAGCTTAATATAAATCCTGTGACTTTTGATATAATTGTGTAATTTAGTTGCAGCTTGTTTATCTGGACAATATTGAAATAAACATTATTCATTTCAAATTGCGTTTTTCTAAAAAAAACCATTGATAATTTTGAATTATTTTTCATTTATATTGATAATATTTTTTAAGGAGACAATGGAAAGTGCAAATGAGGAAGAAATTATAGAAGAAGAAGAAAGTCAAGTTAAAAACTTATTAGAGTCTAATTATTATTTTGAGCAAGCTGGCTTAGGCTTGCATTCAGCTGATACTCTTAAAATCTTTCTGTCAATGAAGCAACTTGCGAAGGAAAAAGATCTCCAAAATGTCAGATTCTGGGGCAAAATTTATGGGTTGGAACAAAATTATTTTGTAGTAGAAGCGGATTATGTTGAAGGAAATGATGAGGAAGAGGAAGAAGAAGTAGAGGAAGAACTGGAAGTTGGTTCTTTTTTGTTAGATAATTTTCTATCATTTATCAAAGTCCTCACTGACAGATATATTTTGGTATTCTGTCATTTTAAACATCTGCCACGAATCGAGTAAACATTAAAAATTATAAAAAGTCCGAAATACCGAGTGTAAAATAATGTAACAAAGTTTAAGGTAGTTAGTTTGGAAGGCATAAGTCAATACTATGATAATTTTATGAGGTTGGAACTTTTAATTCAAATTTGTGATGTGAACTAGGTATATAATCTAAATTGCATAAGACGATGAAGTAAATTGTTACGACATTCTATTAAATACTAGGCGCTCTGGTAAATATGATCAGATAGCAGATGAAAATACTGAGTGCAGTTTGTTCCTGTGCAAGAGATATCAAGAAGATGGTTCATGAGAGGTATCAAGAAGATGGTTTATGAGAGATATCAAGAAGGTGGTTCATGAGAGATATCAAGAAGGTGGTTCATGAGAAGTATCAAGAATATTGTTCATGAGAGTATCAAGAAGATAGTTTATGAGAGGTATCAAAAAGAAGGTTCATGAGAGGTATCAAGAAGATGTTTCATGAGAGATATCAAAAAGATGGTTCATGAGAGGTATCAAAAAGATGGTTCATGAGAGGTATCAAGAAGATGGTTCATGAGGTTATCAAGAAGATGGTTCATGAGGGTATCAAGAAGATGGTTTATGAGAGGTATCAAGAATATGGTTCATGAGAGATATCAAGAAGATGTTTCATGTGGGTATCAAGAAGATGGTTCATGAGAAGTATCAAGAAGATGGTTCATGAGAGGTAACAAGAAGATGGTTCATCAACGGTATCAAGAAGATGGTTCATCAACGGTATCAAGAAGATGGTTCATGAGGGTATCAAGAAGATGGTTCGTGAGAGGTATCAAGAAGATGGTTCGTAAGGGTATCAAGAAGATGGTTCATGAGGGTATCAAGAAGTTGGTTCATCAACGGTATCAAGAAGATGGTTCATGAGGGTATCAAGAAGATGGTTCGTGAGAGGTATCAAGAAGATGGTTCGTAAGGGTATCAAGAAGATGGTTCATGAGGGTATCAAGAAGATGGTTCATGAGAAATATCAATTCATTCATTTTCTTTTCTACTACACATGTTATCATTTATTTAATTATTTATTCATTGGTTTTTTCCATTTAGTTACTCTTTCTTCCATATAAATCGATATTTCAATTTTTAAATGTAACTTATTTAATTCTGTTTATTTTCTTCATTTTGTAATATTGTCTTTTTGCATGTTGTAACAGAACCTGGCAGTCTGATTTTTTGAAAAATGAATGAAAACTTACTATATTAAATATTATTTTTTATTTTGAAGGAGGAACTCGAAGAAGAAGAAGAAGATATGGATGGTTTGTTTTATAATTCTTCCATAATTCTTATTACAGAATTTGTTTAGTAGCAGATTTGGCCGTTATAAATAGTGCAACAATAGTTGTAATTTTTTAGAGTTTTACTGACATATATTGTTTAATTAGCATAATTACTTTTAAAACACTATTTTCAATAGCAAATTTTACCAAAAAAATGTGCGATAGCAATAAAAAAATGGTGCCAACTGCTTTCTACTGAATAATTTAAACCCGGTTATCAAAAATTTTCCAGTTTTGGCCTACGTCGTATAGTTGCCAACCGTCCCGAATTGAGCGCGCAGTCTGGAATTTTATTCCTGTGTCCCGCGTCCCGACTCGGTGTCCGCGGGACGCGCACTCATTTGTCCCGCTTTTTGCTAAGGCAATGAAATGTTGAAATATAGATTTGTCTTGACTCATCCTTAATTTTTTTTTAATTTGATTTAAAACGGCTTGTTTTTGAGTTAAACAGTTTCAATTATCATACTTTAATAGAAATTATTTTTTATTTCGATGATTAGGAAACTTTTTACCTTTGCCGAAGATAAACTACAAGCCTCCTCCCAATCCTCCCAAGGAAGAGCCCGGAACAGGAATGAATAAAAAAGTTTACTACGTTTGTAATGATCCCGGTAAGTTGTGGACCAAACTTCCTATGGTCTCTCCTAAGCAAATTTTCATATCCAGAAAAATTAAAAAGTTGTTTTCTGGTCGCTTAGATGCTCCAGTATGTTATAATATTTTTCGTTATTGTTTTTAATTTATATTTACTTTTGCTTAATTTATTTACCCAACTTAATTGTATTTTTATAATTTTGCAATTTTTTTGTATGAGATTTGACAAGTCTGTCCTGATAATTTTGCAATTTTTTTTATGAGATGAGATTTGACAAGTCTGTCCTAATAATTTATATTTTCTCAAGATTGTTTCTTTCCCGACATTTCCTGGTTTGGAAATAAATTACTTGAGAGCGCAGATAGCCAGGATATCAGCTGCCACGCACGTTTCTCCCACTGGTTATTTCGTGACTGAAGATGAAGAGGAGGAAGAAGCTGATGGAGAATTATTAACGAATGCAGAGTATGAAGCACTCTCCATCAAGGAGCAATTTGCCGCTGGCATTCAAGGCTGGGTTCATCACGTTCCCTACATCCTACCTCAGGCAGTTTTTTCTTTGTTAAACAGGATTGTTAGTTTGTGATGATTGGATGATTTTGTATGGGTGTTTGATTTTTTTCAAAGAACTGATGATTTCAAAAGAATGGATGACATCAAAAGAATTGACGATTTTGAATTAATGGATAGTTTTAAAAGATATGGCAATTTTGAATTAAGAAATGATTTGAAAAGAATTAATGATATTGAACGAATGGTTGATTTGGATGCAGGGGCGATGTAGTTGGTGGAACCCAACTCCAGATGACGACAATGAGGAAGAGGAAGAAGAGGAAGAAGAAGAAGTTGCACCAAGAAGAAAAAAGAAACCCGTTAAAAAAGCAAAACAACAGTTTGGACCGAAATTATTGACATCTTTAGATAAAGACAAAGTAGTTGATAAGGTAACACCGTGGACTATAGAGCTATCCAGCAATCTGTTTTCTGAGGATGGAGTTGTGGTTATTCACTCAAATTTGTGGCCTGGAGCTCATGCTTTTTGTTCTGGAAAGTAAGAATTTTATAACATAATTTAAAAAAATGAGATATATATATATATATAGATATATATATATAAATATATATATATATATATATAGATATATATATATATATATAAGTCCTGGGCATGACATAAAACTTAAAAAAAAAACATAAAACATGACATAAACATATATATATATATATATAGTCCTGGGCATGACATAAAACTGCATCCACGCTGCCTTGCGTGCTTTTGAGCAAAAGGCTAAGCCCACCGCTTATAACTGGTGGTTGTCGTCAGGATGGGTGTCCGGATGTAAAAAGTTTCCCCAAAATTTATTCCATGCCATCATAAAAAACAACGGCCCCTAGTTTCCAACAGGCCTTGAGTGGTCATGGGGTGCTAAGAATCCCTGGGAAGTATGCAATAGCGGAGGGATGTTGCAGAAAAATTCAGAATGGCCCCTCTATGTTACTTAAACTTGGAACTGTCAATGTTGGATCACTGACTGGCGCAGCATGGAAATCGCAGAAATTCTCGAGCGTAGAAGGATTGACATCTGCTGCCTTCAGGAGACCCGATGGAAATCGAATGGTGTTTGTTATATCAATTCAGGCAAAAAAAAATATAAACTATTCTGGAATGGTCAAAAGACGGCCAAAAATGGTGTTGAAATTTTGTCAAAGAACCGCTAGCCCAAGAAGTACTGGATATTAAAAGGATTAGCTCACGCCTTATGTGGATCAAGATTCGCCGAGAAAAGCAAACAATGACTATTTTTTCTGCATACGCACCACAGATAGGCGAATCAGAAGAGATGAAAAATGACTTTTGGGCTGCGTTCTCTGACACCATCTCAACAATACCAAAATCTGAAACAATCCTGATTGGAGGCGATCTCAATGGCCAAGTTGGAGAGAAAACAAATGGTTTTGATAACGTGCATGGCGGTTTTGGCTATGGAGAACGGAATGAAGATGGCAACCGCATCCTTGAGTTTGCTGAAAGTCACGGGTTTTGTTTACTGTACACATATTTTAAAAAGAGGTTTGAACATCTCATAACATACAAAAGTGGACCATCAGCCACGCAAATTGATTTCTTTGCTGTCAACCCATTCAATCCACAGCTACTAGACGATGGCCCTGTTCAGTTTGTAAAGCTGGTGTAGGTAACAATTCAATCAAGTATCAGCAGTGTAACCATTGTTATCACAAACGTTGTTCAAAAACAAGTGGTAATTTATCTAAAGTGTCCAATTTTGTTAGTGCTTGCATCAATCCACAGCAACAAATTCGAAATAGTAATGTTTTTAAAGCCATTAAGGTAGAGAAAGTCACATCATTTCAATATCTAGGGGATGTTCTGGATTGTACTGGAACAGCTGAAGTCGCCGTTCGAGCACGGACACGTGCAGCCTGGAATAAATGGCATCTCCTTGCCTCTATATTGATGCGGCGTGACATCCCACTACCACTACGATCAAGACTTAATAAATCTGTGATACGTCCGGTGTTGTTATATGGTGCAGAAACATGGCCAATGACAACCAAACTGGAACAACAACTTCACTGAACCGATATGAAAATGCTCCGATGGTTGCAACGAATTAGTCTGAAGGGTCACATCAAATTTGCCGAAATCCTGCGTCGTGCTGGTTTAGATGATATAAAGGACGAATGCCGGCAACACCATCTGAGGTGGTTTGGTCATGTCAAACGAAGTGCCATAACTTCTCTTGCAGATGTTGAAGTACCTGGCACACGTCCCAAAGGCCGTCCAAAGAAGTCCTGGTCACAAACAATCGAGCAAGACATGAAAGCTCTAAATTTAAATGAAATGGATACAACTGATCGTTTAATTTGGCGCAAAAAATTGGTGGCAAAAAAAACAACGTCTTACCTCGGGGGAACTGGGTCTCTGGACGCTAAACGAAGATTGATATCGGAGAACTGGGTCTCTGGATGCTAAACGAAGATTGATATATATATATATATATATATATATATATATATATGTGTGTGTGTGTGTGTGTGTGTGTGTGTGTGTGTGTGTGTGTGTGTGTGTGTGTGTGTGTGGTACGGCAAGTGCCTGGCTGTTGATTTGATTGGTACTTGCTGTTATGTTGATGTTTAGATGTTTATTTGATCAATCCCCTCAGTGTCATGTCCTGTCATTTGTTGTAAGCATTTGCAGAGAAAAATTTTCAGTTAAGGATAATTTTAATGTAATAAAATTGATCTTTTGCTGTAAATATATTGTTCACTGGTATCATGTGTTTGTATATAATTCACTAAAATGCGCAGCTTGTTCGATAACATATATGTGGGCTCTGGAATGAAATTTATGTTGTCTGGCTTCAATCCTCAAATGCCTCGCTTCTTATCAACTGAGTACGAAGTCTTTGGCAACGAGTTGTCGGAAGTTGATGATCCAACTGTGGAAGAAGAGTTTCCAACTACGGCTGATGAGGAGGAAGAGGAGGAAGAAGAGGAAGAGCTAAGAGAAGGTGATGACGACGACGATGACGATGATGGTGGTGGAGATGAAGATGATTAACATTAAAGTTCTTTTCATTGTTTTAATGGTAATTTAATCTGTTCGTTTATTATTATTATACGATTTTAGTTAATTTCTGATTATTTGAACATTTCTTAAATAAATACTTATTCTGAATCGACTGACTTTTCAATTGATACATTTTGTGTACTTACATTTAAAAGTGACGTTTAATATTTTTATTAATAGCATTAATGTTTAATATTTTTTATTTCAATTACCCTTAAATCTTAATATTTCTAATACAACTGAGAAGGGTTAATACTGCACAATATTTTGAAAATTATAAATAACTGCTTCCTATTGAAAATCTACACATTATGTTGATCAGCCACCTAGTCCTCGTCCGTTTTAAGCAAACTTCATTTGTAGCTGAAACTTGTAATTTTTAATTTTGAAACACAAGTAAAAGAGCGACAAAATGCGATCCGGAGAGCTGCAGATGCTTTTTTATATATAGTATATTATTTTATATAGTATGTCCCATGCATTTTAATATATATGGAGGTGGGAAGTTGCGTTGCGAAATAATTTTTAAGTAACAAATAGTCACACATAACGCAAAAGGTAGTGGATCTTGTTAAAGCGCAAACTACTAGTGATAATATAGGCCTAAATATATTTTTAATATTGTTGTAACCCGGTAAACGACGACGAGTTCGTTTTATCCCGGTGAAACATACCGACACGAAATAACTTTCAAACTCTTGTATTATTTACAAATCGATAATCACCGTTAATTTAATTAATTAATCAATAATTTTATTTTCTTTATCCGACAGAATGAATTTGTTAATTTGAGGAATGAAAATTATTGCATGGCGTAAGCCTGAAAAGAGGCTTCGTTTTTGTTGTTTTGTAAATCAAAAACAATTTTAATCATTGAATCACCTAACACACGTTGCCTTTAATGTAAATCCTTTTAACTTCTTCTACACGCTTATAATTTTCAAATAACTGGCAGTGACAATTATTGCTGAAATTAAATAACCGCTGCTGCCACTATTGTAGAATTTACCGATGAAAACTATTTCTAGCATAATAGAAATCAGATGAATATGAAAGGAAACAGGGATGGACTCAATAAAAACTGTTTATAATCCTTTTACTTCACAACCAAAAAATAATTATCTGTGAAAAGGCATTTATACACAGAATCCTTCAATGTTCCTCTGAATCCACCAACCGCCATGACATCAACCAAGCCATTGATGCTTTTCTAGCTTTCTGTTAATATTTTATTTCGATTACAAAAAAGCAACCTTTCTTAAAATAATGCGGCAACAAATTCGATTCGGTTTGTTGTTGCGATTGTATTTTTTAAGTTATTTAAAACATGTACGTTGTCAACTTTACAATTTTTCGGATCTGTTTCAAAACGAAAATCTCATTGGAAGCCAATTGGAAGTTCAAGGAACGACGTAATAAATAAATGTTATTGAGGCACTACCTCTGCCATTCCGAGTGTACAACATTATTATTCGAGCGGAACGGGGTTGCTCGTACGGAGCCACGTTATTCAGCTGCAATGTAGTATGAAATAAACAAGCACTTGAAAAAAGTTGGGAGAGGTGTTGGTAGGTTTATAACGCACTGCGTTGGTTTCAAAATATTAGATTCACTTTTAAAACGTAAACATATTGGCGGCCGGTAATTGCAGGCTTTTAATATCGCTACGACTGCTTACATATTTTTACACATCGTTTTCAATTTTGTTTGTAGCCGTTCTTTATTTATTAAATTGAATTTATAGAAAATCACGTGATCAGTGTGGTACGCTCGGATAGTTGTACCCACTATTGTACTTGTGGTACCTACTATTGATGAAAAAATTTATAAAAAAATTATTAATTCTTTAACAATAACATGCCTTGCTGTTACAAATTGAATCACATCAAAGTGTTTGTTTGTGAATGTAAAATTGTGCATACAATGATTAAAGTACTCTTGTGTGTTTGTGTGTC